TTTTTTTTTTTTTTTTTTTTTTGCAAAATTAATATTCTGAGAAAAAGTCTGCATTACTGATTAATCTTCTACAAGGATATTATTTATGATGATGATGTTTTCCCTGGAGAGGTCAGAGCATAAATAGCAGACATTTCTCACCAAACTGGTGACTTATGTTTAATATCCTGTTTGATTAAAATGTTAGTGTTTGTGGTCTTAGAAAGATTGTAGTAGGCGGTTCCAATCTTATCTTTGGTAGACAACTCAACTTCAGGGCTTATACATTGACACGCCCCGATGACCAAAGGCATGAAATAATTGTCATATCTCAGGTGGATCAGACTGACGGAGGTAGACATTTGGTGTAGTAAGGTGAGGGCATAGGGTGTACCAGATTATGGTAATCTCCCTGTAATTTTGAACAAATTTATTTTATTTATTTTTCAAAGTAGAAAGTTTGATAGGAAATTTTGAATATTAGGGAGTTATGGTTTTTGTCAGACAATGTATTTTATATGTAATTTAAACTATAAATTTTGTAAATAAAACAAAAATGTTTGAAACAATTGAGCTATGCAAATAAAAGAAGAATTGATTGTTCTTTGAACAAATTTGAAAGAAGAAATTGCCTATGCAGGACACTGAATGTCGCATTCAGTAAATAAACCATCGGTATGCAGATGAGATTAAACAGTTCCCTCGCTGCACAGTGAGATTTCAATGTCCGTAATGTTACATGATTTACACAGTGAACACATTTATATATATATGGAACAGAGGCATTAGCCTGGAAATAGTGCCATCAATCTGGTTCTTTTACATACCATCTTTGTGATATGTCATTAAAATGGCATTATAGGGCAGGCTGAAGGTGAATTTTTTGCATTATGCAATGGAATCTTGACGGCAGATGGTGCAGTATTATTTTAGAAACTAACTGTTTGGTTGCTGTCGTGCGCATTATACTTGGAATTAGTTTGATCATTTTATTTAGCATACTTTGCTCCAAACACACACTTGCACAAAACGAGAGAGAGAGAGAGAGAGAGACGATGTTCATTACCCAGTCAACATATATATTTAAATCATTCACCAAGCAACACGAAGCCCTTCCCCTCTCCCCCCCCCCCCCATTTCCCCCCTGACACCACAACATGACTTCTCAGGTAAAGAGGGTTTAAAAGAGAGTGTTTCCTTAGTATAAAAGTTCTGTGTATATTTAATCCTGATTGTGGTTGAGATAATTACAGGCTAATGAGAAGCTTTTCATTGTGGATAAGGTCATTTCATGGGTGAAGTGGGTTTAAGGTGTCTCCCATTACTCCTTGACTGTGAGGTCTAAGGTAAGAGCATTTGTTTTGACCATTAAGTGAAGATATTCATGTTACTTAGTGACTTTGGAATACATGACTGTCTCCTGTTCTCCGTCAATAGGTGGTGTTAAGTTAGCCTACCCTAGGAAGAGGGGAGGGTTCTCATTTTGATGAAGAGGCTTTTAGGGGATTCTCATGTTTCCTGGTGCAAAGATGTGCACATTTTTGGATAAAGGTAGATTAGAATATTTATTGCTGTACGAGATGAAGAAATTTAAGATAAACTATTATGGTCATTACAGAAAATGGAATTGAATTAAGGTTTAAATTGAAAAAATTGGTGAAAATTTTGAAGAATGCTTTAGTAAAGATACGCCATTGAGGGGACGGCCAACATAAAAGCAATACCTGTCAAGTTATTTTATTTAAAATGTGTATGTATGTAGTCAGCAGTGGTGTTGGTGGTGGAAAGGAGGGTATGAAGTGGAGAAGAGGTGCTGATCTATCTTTAACATAATGTGAACATGCCATATTTTTAGTTCAAGATCCTCTTACATGGCTGAGGATATGTGGGGTCCATCTCCAGGCTGTGTGAAATGTTACTGCCTGTGTAACACTGATAAAACAGGATAACGTCCCCAATCTTTTCTACATATCATCACATGACGACAACCTTCTCACCTTTGTCTAAACACCTGCAAACAGAGCATCATGTTTTGCTATCAAGTACAGTTCTTACATGATGAAATACATCCAAGATTAAAGATTAAGGAGATGCTTAGAAAGATAAAGACAATAAAAATGGATGTTTAAACGTGTGACCGCATAGAGTGTGAACCTGTGTCACATCTTGCGATCAATATTTTTGATTTGATCTCAGTGAGTTTGCAAATGGGTCATTTATAAAGGGATTTTGCACTTATATTTGGTAATAAGATGTCATACCTAAGACGCCCTGGACCTAATACCATTAGATAATGCAGGAGTTATCTTGCTTATTGTGGAATAATAATACCTCTCCTATCTGTGATGAAGCCATCTTCCACATGATAATTTTTCCCATCGGACATTTTGCAGGGCAATGGATGTATGTAATCTTAAAACTTTAATTTGGAACAAGTACATTTGAGTTTCGAATTAATTTAAAGGCAGAATTTTCCAAGTACCATAAAGGGTTGAATAATACCAAAGATTTGTCTCTTAAGTATTAGATTTTTTTTTCTAATTTTTATTTAGATCATTGGATGGTTGGAATGCTGATGTTTTATATCCTTTTATGAATGTTTCCTTTTGAAATATCCATCATATTTCTGATGAAGTTATGAATTGAACCAGAAAAAAAAACATGATTTAACTGCTATGTGATCACTACTGTTTATTTAATCATTAAGTATTTTGTCTCTTTGTATCTTTTCAGTACGGACCAAATCAAGCAAGAGATAGAAAAAAGATTGAGAAGCGTAAGTAGAAAGCTTACATATTCATGCAGATAATTCAGGAAAAAAAAAAAAGAAAAAACAATGAAAAATTATAGTAATTGAAAAGTAGCTTGAAATATAGTTATATATGTAAAAAGAAATGTTTTTCTTCTTTTATTCTGGGTTGTGACTTTGACAACGAGGCACGAAAAACGTGAAGGGCTGGGATGGGGAGGGGTTGATTTTGGTCATGAGGGTGTTGGCACGATGTGATGAGAAAGCATAGACATGGGGAACAGCCAGGACAGATGAGTGTCTGTTTAATTTCTTTGTATATAAATGAGTTGAAAATAAAGATGGACATGAAGTGATGGATCTGTAAACCATTAAAAAAGTGTCAACCGGTGTTAATGTATGCAGTAGTTGTAGAAATGAACATTTATCAAAAATAAAGCACAGTCTGTTGTCTTTGTGAATGAATCAGCAGTTGTTACATTCTTCCAATGTTACAAAATATTCAGTGGATCATTTTAGTGTTATTAATTTCTAATGAATTTTTTTATGTATTCATGAACGACAAGAAGGCCTACAACTATTGCTTTTAAATTCAAAGTGAAATTTTATTTCAGAATTTGGTCATTGCTTTCTTTGTAAAAAATTCAGTTTTCAGCTTTTACAGTTACATCCTTACAAAACCATTGAGACTGAAGTTCTTCAGGATAATCATATGGGCTGTTTATTTAATGGCAATGGATCAAATTGTGTGTCAGTTGAAAATGTTTGTTTTGTCTTTTGTGACTTATGACACAATGCTTTATTGTATTAAATAATACTCTATACTCTCGGAGGTCTTATCTGCTCTTTTAGGTTGAATATAAAGGAAGACAATATTTCTTGTAAATGTTTACCTGCTAGATCATTAGGAAGTTGAACCACAATGGTTCAGTTGTAAATTAAGTTTTTCTTCTCTTTGTTAGCGAGCTTCAAAGCAACAGTTTGTTTGCTATGCTAACTTAAATGTATTTTGAAAAGGAAACTTGAAGGTCTTTTTCGAGCACCTTAAAATTCTTTCATGCAAATTCACCAGCTTAAGAAAACATTTAGTTGGAGATTTTATTCCAGACACGTAACTCTCGATGTGCAAAACAGACCACATTTGTATTGGATGTCAAAAATATGAAAAGTTTTATTTTTTTATTTCCACAAGGTCCCAGATGTCACCATATAATTTATTGAGAGAATGAAGTCATGATATTCCTATGAGTTATGTCAGTCTGCATGGTACAAGAACTATTGCAAGCTTACAATGAAACTTGTATTTTAAATAAACCCAGTTGACATGGATGATTAACTATATAAAGTTGTCGTTCCAAAATTTGGATTCTTCATGCAATATTGAATGCAGGTTGGAATACATGGCAATGTTTTTATTTATCTTAATATTTAACATTTTTACAGTATATTATATGGAAAGGCACTACAGACATGCTTTTATTTATAGGCAGAATGGACCACGATTGCCATATCTAAATGATTATAGAGAACATTCCTGGTTGCTTTAATGGAATAATATTGCTATTTTATATACTGAGGCATGACTGTTTAATCACCCAGTCTATGATACACATTCAAATTAACCTAAATTCAGAATAAAGCTTTCAAGCAGTAAGATATTTCAATCAGTATCAAGTAAGAAATGACAGCCAACAATGTTTTACCATGTAGGAATTTAGATGCAAGCTTGCATATGTGCTTTCGTGGATAAATTTTCACCTATTTCAAAAGCAAGAAACATGTTTCTGTTTAATCAGAGACTGAAAGTGACGCTCTCTCTCTTGGGGGTATGCAAATGAGACTGATTGATTAGTCTCCGGACTTTCTTTACATATACAAATATACAATTGACCACTTCCTTATCGCCTACTTGACGGGAGGTTGAAAAGAGCTGGAATTTTAACAGTGAATAAATAGGCTGTAAATCACCAGGGTAGTCCATAGCAGTCATTTCATCTTTGTCCCTCTGTGTTTGCACATCACAGGAACTTATGTTATATCAACAAGGTTGTGATAGGCTACTTCAAGGCTAAAGTGACGTGGAATTCAGAAACCATAACTACTACCTGTTCAGAGATATGATGACTCGGAGCTGACTAAGGGATAATTTGGTGGTGAAAAATCGAGCGTGGATTTTTTCTCCATGACCGCAAAACATTGCTCTCAATGCAGAGATAAGAATTGGGTCTGTCTTGGCTGCTGATTCTTAAAATAACTATTGAAATCATCAGTGAGCTATGGGATAAACAGTGTGACAGGTAGGAATCAGCAGTCAAGCGTCATGCGGGCTTTTCTTTAACCTGGTCTTGTGTAAATATCGGCTTTTGTGGTAGAACGACTTCATAAGGAGGCCTAATAGCTCTCCCCTCTCTATTTCTCCCTCTTGATAAGGATGCCCGCAAGGTACCAGTCAGGTAGGTGAATTTAGGACTTTAAGAAGTATTCAGGGAGACTTATTGGTTAATACGGTATGAAGTGGATTGGGAGCTCAAGGGACGTTAGGAGTGAAGTTGTAAGCTGGGCAACTGTTGGGCGTTAAGGTGGGCACTAGTCAAGCATGTACATAATACGTAAACTATTGAGCATTACGCAGGTGTGGCTACCTAGCCTATATTGAATTGAGAAGTATGTACTTTTTTTATGAAATCAATCTTAGGCGCCATTTATGCATGCTATCACGTTGGCTTTCTCCTTATAATATGTAATCGAAACTCTAGAGTTTACACACAACAAAGTAATATTGTGGCACTGGCAAACAATGTACCTGTCAACCAAGATGTGATCTATAATCTTAAGCAGTATGTATGGAGGAGAATTTGTTCTGGGGAGAGGGTGTTTTTTTTTTTTTTAAGTACAGAAAAGCTTGAGTTGGTTTTTGTACGTCACGAAAGGTGGTGCAGTCGCAGGGTTTTTTCAGTGGGACTGAGTTGCCATCTTGTATCGTTGAAGTGTTTGGGAATGTTTGCACCACGGAAGGACATTCAGATCTAGGATACTTTAGTAAGTCTTTATTTCTGTTTTAAAAAAAGGCCAAGGGTCTTTTCTTGTGGAAACCATGAAGCGTTCTTTATTAGTGAAACATTGTGTATGGACTTCAGTAGGCTAGGAGTAGTATCTCCTTCTTGAGGGATTTGATTGTTGTGTATTCCCTCGACAAAAATTTTTGTACGATTCATGGAGAGCAACGGGTTCGCTCAATAAGGTGGTCAGAATTGACGGTGATTGGCAAGTTTGGGAAAGAATGGCCTAATTTATTTATTTATTTTTATTTTTTGACTACTTTTTGTAAAGTCATTAAGTAACATGTCACTGTTTTGAAATTGTTTTTACAGTTCTTTGCTTGATTCTTTCAAGGAAATCTGATGAAAAGATAAGTTCATGTCACTGCCAGTGGTTGGAAATGGTATAGGGGTTTGAAGTGTGGTAATATGAGTCAAGATAGCAACAGATAGCACCTTTTGGCATGTAATCAGTGCTTTGGTAAAAACTGGGTTGAGGTCCTCTACCACACCCCTTGTGAGCTGCCGCTTTATGTATGTTTTCCAATTTATTATCATGCATTAAGTGTTTTTACTATTCTGCAAAGAAATATAAGAGAACAAATGAGAGCACTGCCAAGTACCATGTTTTTTTCTCGCAAAACTGTTATCAGTCGTAGAGTTGAAAGTTTATCTAACTAGATGCGATTTCATTCAGAAGCCAAGGAGGGAATTATTTATGAAACTAATAGCAGAAGGCAGTGACGCCCAGCTTAGATAGGTGATTTGAACCTGAATGATGAATTGATGTGAGTAATGATGTCGTTTTGAAATTCTTTTTTGTTGTAAAAAATATAAAACTTCTAACCTTGCTAGACAGTACCAAAGACCAACAGTTTGTTCAGGGACAGTCATTGGTAGCTGGGTCAAGCAAATACATGTCATATGTGACATGAAACCACTGTAGGTAATAACTAATTAAACAGCATTTTGGCATACCCTTGGCTTTTGTCAATATTTAGGGAATTTATATATGGAGTTTGTTCATCTCTAGCTAGCAAGAATGACCAGAGTTGGACTAGTTTTGTGAAGTTTTAATTCTAAATTTGAAGGCACATGGGTTATGACAACATTTGAAGCACATTCAAGAATTTCAAGATATTTCAGTGCATATTAGGATTCTGTTTGTATTAAGCAGGTGGAAAAAATAATATGAAAAGGCTCAGTATAACTTAATCATTTCTAATTAATCCAAATTATTATTAATTTGATTATAATATATATATTTAAATATTATATTTAGCACATAATAAATTATGTAATGACACTTCATCATGTGCTCATATTTAGGAAAAGGGAAGTACAGAAAAAGAAAATGAATTTCTATTTTTCCTAGAAGCTAAAAGTGATACCAAAAAACAGTGCAGATTGCTGCCCAAGCACATATTCCATGTGTCACCAAGCAGAAGTGTCACCATGTTGACAATATCGTCTGTGTATTTGATAGTGGGTGGCACATACCATTCTAATGAAAGAGAATCAACACTGTATCCGAAATTTCAGTTTTTGTCCCGAATTGGTCATCATTTATTTTAACACTACTGTGCTAATACCGCAAATATCTATTCCTTTTTTGAATGGAAACTGCCGCGGGCGGGGTATAAAGTATTAACTGATTAGACTTAAGGCTGGCAGATATGGAGACCTGTTATCTTTTAATTCAATTGCTAAACAACATAGGTGAAATTCCTCCCAAAATATTTTTAATGACGGACTTAAATCTAATGTTACATTGTAAAAAGCAAGTAGTATATCTGTGTGGGAAATAACCTTGCTGCCAAGGAAACTGTTTGGAATTCCTTTTATCTGGGCTACTAATACTCTTGTTTGCATTGAATGTTATACCTTGATAATATTATTGGAACTGTTAGGGAAGTAGTATAGATATGTGCATGCCATTGGGGGTCAAATTCTAACCTACAGGCCTAATGGTCAAGTCAACTCGATAAG